AGTGCCCGGCCTGGCCAGTCCTGGGCAGCCCAGACCAGGGGCTGCCTGCTGAGAACCAATGGTCCCCAACCGACGTGGTTCCAGGGACTAGAGGCAGATGCCGCCCGTATATGATTCATCGCGTGGCCATGATCAGGTGGTGTGGGGTCAGGGGAGGGGCACAGGACCAGACGGCATGCACCTGGAGAGCTCAGTGGCCTGGTTCACATGCCGGCTCGACATGCACACCCTGCACCTCCTTGGCCAACCACCACCTCTCTGGGTCCCGCCTACCTCATGATAAACTTAAGAGACCACCACAAGTTCAAGAGGGACCATCTCAGAAAGCCCCTGGCATGGTGCCTGGCGTGAGCAGGGGCTTGGCAGGTGTCACTGTCCCTCCTTTCAGGAGCCTTCGGAACCGTGAGGAAAGGGAATCTACTGCCAAGGGGCTCACTGAGAGAGGGCCCCACAGCCACCTGGATCTCAGTCTGGATTTAAGAGCTCAAGACTGTGTGTGCCATGTGCATTGTGGGCAGGGGGCAGAAAAGAGGGGCAGCTCAGTACCCCTGACTCCCCTACCCCAAAGAGGCACCATCCCCTGGGCACAGCCCAGAGCATGGCCCCAGCAGGGTTTGCCCAACAGAATGGAGGAGGGGTCTGTCTACCCAGCTCAGAACCCTGTCAGGAGAGGAACTCACAAAACACCAGTGTCACCCCGGCCAGTGTGGCTCAGTTGGTTGGAGCGCCATCCTATACACTGAAAGGTTGCGGGTTCAGTCCCTATCAGGGTGTGTATGGGAGGTAACCGATTGATGTTTCTCTCTCTCTCTCTCTGCCTTCCCCTCTCTCTAAAATCAATAAAATATATCTGCAGTGAGGATTAAACAAACAAATGAATAAAAACACCAGTTTCATCCCTGGGGGAAACTGAGGGGTGCATAACTTTCCTCTAGCGCAGTGGTTCTCAACCTTCTGGCCCTTTAAATACTGTTCCTCATGTCGTGACCCAACCATAAAATTATCGTCGTTGCTACTTCATAACTGTAATGTCGCTACTGTTATGAATCGTAATGTAAATATCTGATATGCGGGATGGTCTTAGGCGACCCCTGTGAAAGGGTTGTTCGACCGCCAAAGGGGTCGCGACCCACAGGTTGAGAACCGCTGCTCTAGTGCTTCTCTATACAGTGCCATGTGTTACTCTAAAAACCAAAAACAAAACACATAACATCAGTAAAAGCAAAAACATCCTGCTGGTGGAGGGCATTGGAAAACGAAGCTGCACCCCTGGTGGAGACAGGGCAGGGACCATGGAGGAGGACCCCTGGTGGCTCCATCACATTCTCTCCTGGGAGGGAGGAGCTGGCCGTACCTCCGAGAGCATGACGTACTGTCCCCTCCTGCCCAGCGTGATGCTCAGGAGGTCGTAGATGGCCGCCGCATTCCTCAGGCTCACCGCCCGGTCCTCCTCCTGCTCTGGCGCCCGGCTCAGCACCACATCCCGAGTAGCCTGTCGGGGGACATGGTTTTGGGAAAGAGTGAGAACAGAAAATATGCAGATGCCTGTCCTAATAGAGCCCCTGTCCCCCAGGCCCAGGGACCCAGGCCAGGCAGGTGGCCACACCCCCAGAAACAGCCAGATCCTTCCTCACCCCCACATAGGCCCTCTCCAAAGAGAGAAAACTCCACTCCCAGCCCAGGCTGGCATGAGGGAGCAGTTCTGAAGGCTCAAGTTCCGGGTAGTCAATGTTTTATTCTGAAAAATCTCAAACCACCCGCTGGTGCGGCTCAGTGGTTGAGAGTCACCCTATGAACCAGGAGGTCATGGTTCGATTCCCAGTCAGGGCACATGCCCGGGTTGCGGGCTCGACCCCAGTGGCGGATGTGCAGGAAGCAGCTGATCAATGATTCTCTCTCATCATTGATGTTTCCCTCCCTCCCTCCCTCCCCCCCTCCCCCTCTCTCCCTTCCTCTCTGAAATAAATAAAAAAATATTTTTAAAAAAGAAAAGAAAAATCTCAAACCAACAGGAAAGTTGTAAGAATAATACCAGAACAGTAAACCCAACTGTTAACATTTACCACATCTGCAGTGTCTCTCTATACTACATAATAACAATAAAGATAATACGTTATGAGAATATGGCCCTTTACCCCTAAAACACAAGAAGACATTCTTTTTATAACCACGACAGAAATGCCAAATTCAGGTAATGTAGCACTGATATTACTATCATCTAATAACAGTTCATATCCTGATTTTACTGTCCATCCTCATCTCTGTTCTGAACTCTCCCTGAGTCCTGCTGAGCACAGAGCTGGGGTACATCATTCCTAGTCATTTACTTTTGTCACTCCCGGATCCAATCCAGGGCCATGCCCTGCACTGGGTGCTAGGTCTCCGGAGGCCTTTCACCTGGACAAGCCGCTCAGCCTTCCTCTGTCTTTCGGACGCTGGCATTTTTGAGGAGTTAGACCAGTTGTTTTACAGAAGAGCTCTGTGTGCTTGTAACTGTTCACTCATAGAAACAGCTTCAGAGAATCCGTGGAATGGTCCCCATCAGGGGGGTGGTCTGCTGTGTGACTCATGGAGCCTCAAGCTGTGGGCCCTCAGCGCCCCCTTCTCTGACTCTGTAGGTCTCCCAAGTCCCTCCGATAAGGACCCCCCCCCATACTTCCTTCCCATCACCCACAGGTCTGTCCTTGACCCCTTCCAACCATGGAACTCTCTGTTCCTCCCCTAAACCTCTCCCCCAACCTTGAGGCCTCTGTGCTGGCATCCAGCCCTCAGGAGTTCATAGCTCAGTGCTGCTTGGTGGCTGCTCGGGAGGGCAGGGTGCAGGCTGAAGGGGGAGCACTCTCACCAAGCCTGAAATCTTACCACCAGGAATCCCAGACCCCCTTGCTCTGTGGGCTGTGGCATGCGGCCCCAGTGCCCTTACACCTAAACCCTGGAGACAGCACTCAGAACAGCTGAACGGAAGTGGCAGGAGTTTCTGAGCTGAGCAGCAGCAGCAGGGGCGGGACCAGGCTGGGGATGCTCTGGTGCCCCTGCATCTCCCAGCACACACCCTGAGGGCTGAAGCAAAGCTGAGTTCTGGCCAGATGCTCCCAGCATCCTGCCCTCTCCTGCATCTTCTCCCCTCTGCCCAAGGGGCCTCTTCCCAGCTTCCCCTCCCTCCACACAAGGGTCAGAACCTCCTCCAGGTGTTGGGACTCACCCCCCTCTACTTCCCCACACGGGACCTCAGACCTTCCTGACAAAGTAAAAGGGAACTGCTGGCCCTGAAAAGCCAGATCCCGCGGGTCAGCTCCATCACAGCCGATCCTCACATCCTCCCCCTGGCCAGGACCACCACCCCTCCTCCAGGTCAGGGCAGAGGACCCCAAGTGCTGTAGAGGCAGAAGCCCAAGGGCGGCTGGACTGTGGGCTGGATGTCCTGCTGTGCAGACCCAAAGTGTGTCCCCACAGAGGCTTCTGGAAGCCACAGTGATGGTCAGACCCAAGGAAGGGACTCGCCCACAGGGGCATTTCAAGCAGCAGGGCAGGCCAGTGGCCAGGGGTCCACAATGCGCGAGGGCTGCCCACCACCCCCATGGACATGGACCAGCCCTAGGAGAGGGCACGGGAGGCCAGGAGGTCCCCGGAGAGGCTGAGCGCTGTGCCAGCTTGGTAAACAAGCACGGGCCAGGCACCCGAAAGGGTTCAGGGAGAGGCGTGGAGAGGGAGTGCCAGAGAAACCCCCTCCTTCCTGGTGAAATCCACCCACACAGGCACCAACAGGAAGAGAGATGAAATTTTAAGGAGATGCTTGGCAGGAGCTATTTCACTGAGCTGAGTAGGAACACAAACTCCAGAACTTGCTCTGAGCCTGGCCACGCTCCTCCCCACTCCCCCACCTCCAGCCTTCACCTCCAGCGACTCCGCAGCTCAGGCTGCAGGGATGGGGCCCGGAGAGGCAGCTCCCACCAGGCTGCGTTGGGGTGGGGGTGTTAGGGAATGAGAGGACGGGAGACACAGTCCCCACCCTCAGCTCAGTGCACAGGCACGTACCGAGTGGAACCTGAGCGAGAATTCTGGTGGGAGACAGAGGACCTGATGGAGAGGGAGCAGAGCAGGCAGCCTGCAGGGTGGCTATTCCATGGGGCTGGAGGGGGAGGGGGGGGAACGTGACGGGAGAAGCCTGAATAGACGCATCTAAGATCTGGGGACCCGCCCATGCTGACCAGTCTCATTCAGGGGCAGGTGAGCAGCAAACTGTCAAAAGTCTCCGCTCTGGTTGGTCTGTCCTTGAAGAGTAGCCCCTGCCAGAACCCAACTCCCACCCCTGCCTACCGCCCCAGGATAGTCTAGCCTCCTTGCTGTGGCTGCCATCAGAGGCCCTGCCTGTGCCCCCCACCCAGACCCCAGCTCTCCAGTCCTCCCTGGGCCCCCACAGAACGCCCCCTGCAGCTCCCTAGCCTCACCATGGCCTGTCACTGTTCCCGCTGTCAACTTGGGTGCCTGCAAGCTCCTCACAACTCAAAACTGGTATCTGCACGTATCTCGCCAGGCGAGGCCGGACCCTCCCCCTCCCCTAGCACTGGGCACACTGCAACCCTCACACCCGTCCAGCTGGTCCACCAGTTCTTGGGGCAGGGACGTGTCTCCAGACTCCCAGCCCCAGTACAGGCTCACACAAAGCACGTGTAGGAGTGACATCTGAGAGATTTCTGGGCCTGGTGTGGGAACTTCCTCCTGTCCGCCCTCGACCTTGACCTTTAAGAGAACAGTGTCTCCTAAGGTGGACCCGGCGGGAGGGGGTGGATTTCCAGCACTGGGAAGGAATTAGGTCATAAGAACAGGAACAGGAGAGAGGGTTGCAGCAGCATCCCTGGGCCGAGGGATAGGGTGGTGGTGGTGGTGGTGGGGCTCCCCAACAGGCAGATAGTAGGGAAGGCACTTTCTCAGGGGTCCTCAGGACTTGGAGCCTGTGCCAAGAGGGAAGCGTGGTTCCCCAAAGGCAAGCCAAAAGCAGAAGTTTGCCCAGCCGTTGCTATGGCTTCAGGGCAGGGCTGCGGTGAAATGCTCCGGTGAAATGCTCTGGTGCCCGCTGGGCCTGGCCTATGTACGTAACCATGGCAACAGGGTGGGTGGGGGAAATAGGGCAGAAAGAAGGAAGCAGAAGCCCAGGCAGGGAGCAACAGAGTAGAAATTCACGTGCAGCTCAGGGGCCAGAGCAAACCTCAGAGGAGAAGGCACGCCGGGGGGCTAAGTCCCTGCCCAGCGCACCGGGGGTCCTGCTCCCTCTCCCCCGGGCTCACACCCTTAGAGCCACACATGCTCGCAGCGCCATCCGCAGCCTGCCTCAGTCTAGTCCCCGCCACACTCTCTTCCTTCACCATGTACATGGCCTTGCTAGGAAATCCTCCAGGTCAAATGTAGTGACAGATGTGGAAGCGCCCGTGAGCCTTAAAGCAACATACGGACCCTAAATTTTCTTCTCACCATCATGGTCCTTCCTGGTAATGGAATAATGGCAGAATATGCTCCCCTGGTGTCCTCCTGCATCACCCCCAGGGCCCACCCCCAGGCCTCCCGCCTCTGGGGGTTCCCAGTTCTTGTTGACCCCACGCATTTAATCCCGGGCAGGGTTCACAGGGCTGTCCCTACTCCTAGTCTTGGGGCGGCCTCCCCCAGACACGAGGACATTCGTCCCAGGCCTTCCAGCAGATCAGAAGAGACAAAGCCACAGGAGTGCTCCGCCCCACCTCCCGTCACCCCACAGCTCCTCACAGCCAACGTGCCCGCATCTGGTCTCTGGACAAATACCCATGAAGCCAATACGGGTCTCAGGGGAAGGTCCACGAGGGACTGTCCATTTCCCACATGGGCCGGCCCCGGGAAACCCATGGCAGGCGACTCCTGTTCAAACAACCCCCCCCTTATGTGTGTGCCGTGCACTACCCTTCCGGGAGCTGAGTTTTCATGCCCATCACCATCTGGTCTCACAGTGAGCCCAGGATGAAACCAGTAAGTAGGGTCCCTTCACAGATGGGGAAACTGACCCCAGAAGGTCCTGAGAGTTAAGGCTGAGCCCCTGGTGGCCAGTCCTGTGCTCCTCTGCCCAGCCCCTTCTGACTCTCTGTGAGCCACAGGGCCTCAAACAGTAATAGCCTTCACTTCTGTCCAGCTGTCTCTCCTCTCTAGCCCTGGACACAAACAGCGTAAGAGAAGGGAAGGGAACTAACCTGTGGACACTTTGTAAGTGGTATCTCATAATTCTCACAATGACCTCTCACATACTACTGTCCTATTTTACAGATGTGAAGACTGAGGCCCAGGGAGGCCAGGCAGGCACCCAACGCATACAGATAGGTGGTTGGGACTCAGATTGGAACCTAGACATTTTGGTTTCACTCCCAGGCTCCTTCCCTGCCCCCAGATGCCTCTGAGGAAGTGTCCAGTAGGCTCGTCCTGGCCATCAGAAGGCCTGGCATGTCTCTTCTTGTGGGAGAACCAAAGCAAAACCTAATCAGGCCTGGACGCTGCTTCTCTGCAGAGAACAGGCTCCTTGGGCAATGTGGCCAGGGTCCTGCTCAGCCCTGTCCTCAGACACAGCCTCGCCACTGGCCAAGGACCCAGCCTCAGGGTCGTCTGCTGACACCCCACAGCAATTGCCCCGGAAACGAGTCTCCTGGCAACATCTGTGCCTAGCGCCTGCCCCCCCCCTTGGAGGATGCTGTCATGTTCTACTTGGGCTGCTGTCCCCCACTAACTACCACTAGCTCTCGAGCTGCACGTCCAGAGCCAAGAAAGAACAGGCTCTGTGATGTGTCCCATCTACCGAGCGACGGGGCCAGGCCCGCACCAGCCCCCGCTCCTGCTGCATCAGCCTGCCGCAGAAATCCCCGCTCTCCCTCCAGCGAGGGCGCGGCTCTCCCTCTCCTGAACTGAGTGTTCTGAGCTGGCAGTGTGATCATACCCTTTACCATCGCAGCCCGCAGCAGAGCAGGGCCTCATGTGAGAGCAAACCAGGTGCCAAGAGCTGGAACAATCTGTGCTCGTCTGAGTCCCACATGGAATCAAGCCCAGGAAGCCCCCACCCCCCCTTTTTTTTTTAACCAAATGGTGTCCTCAAACCAATTTTTTTCTCCCAACCGGATATGAATCTAAATGTTTTCTAAAATGACTGAGTCAGAACCACGTATTTATCAGGACAAAACAGACACGTGTTGAACACCCACCATGTACCAGGCACCTTTGTGCTCATTTTCTTACTTAATCAGCTCAAAGCCCTGCAAGAGAGGCTTTCTTAGCCCCATTTTACAGAAAACTGAGAATCAGGAAGGTAAGAAACCTACACAGGCCACATAGGTTGTGAATGACAAATTCAGGATTCAAATCGTGGACGTCTGACATTGGGTCTGGCAAACATTTGGTTTGTAAAGGCCACACACCACCCCCTCCCCTGCCCCATCACTCACCACCGGGCCTTTTCCGCCCTTTCACTTCCCAAGAGCCTGCCACCTGCAGCGACTTTTCCAGCAGCTGAAGGAACAGGGGCCCAGGATTCACTTTGTTGTCCCACATATTTTTATGCCCTAGATCAGTATGTTAGAAACAGCCAAGATTGCCGTGCCTCCTGGTCCCATGACTGTTTGAGAAAAATCAGGCTGGTTTTGAGACATGATTCTTTCAAAACCTAGACTATGCATTTGGGGTTCAGCAGATGGGGTAATTCCTTCTGATTTGGGGACCGGGATTTCTCTCATGTCTATGGACACACACTCCACTGGTGGGAGTACACGTGGGACAGGGGCTCTGATTGCACTGTTTGCCACGGCATCTTGTGCTGAGCACAGCCCGCACGCTGCTCAAACAAGATCAGGTGGATGGGAGATGATTTTAAAATGCTCTTTTGGCCTCAAAGACTCAAAACTGGATCCAAAACACAACTCTTCAACCAGTTATAGCCCCATATCCCTTGCGATTCTGTGGAAGCATTTAAGATTTCTATTTACTTCTCAGAAGACAAGAGCTGACCCATTCATTCTGATTACACTCAGTCAGACCATAACAAAAACCATGTCCAAGGCACCATCCCCACACCCGATCCCAGGCAGGCTACTCCTCTGAACTCCAAGCCACAGAGCAGGGGCTGCAGTGCTTGGGAGACATGTAGACGCCCTGGCCTCGCGATCCTGGAGGTGGAGAGCTGGGTGACACCTCCTGGGCTGACTGCGCTGAGAAAGCGTTCACTGCAGTATAATGAATCCTGCAGGTATTAGGAGAACCCAAGTAGCAGCCACAGCAGGCAGCTGCTGTTCTAGAGGTTTGTCCCTGTCATCTGCAGGCAAACACAGCCAGCGTCAAAGGGAGATGAGGAAAACCCTGCAGGGACATGGCGGCCACACTGAACCTCAGTCCAATGGAGGGTCCCAGCAGGAGCCCCGGAGGCTCGCACAGTGAAGCCCACACCTGCTGGAGAATGTTGCCTGCAGGGAGGGATGGTGTGAAACGAGTACAAGAGAGAAGCCAGAGTCGGTCTGGTCACTGAGAAACAGCTCTGAGCCACAGCAACCAGCTCCAGATTCCAGGTGCAAAGCGCTCTGTAGATGAGACACCAAAGCGAAGTCCATTGCCAGAGCTCTCCCCGCAAATGCTGAAGTTTCTAAATGTGTGACAGGCTTGGTGTGAGCAAGAGGAAACCAGCCAGCCAGCCAGCCAGCCCCGGAGGTGCCTCCTCCCGGCTGCAGTGCACTCGGAGTCCGAGCACTTCCTCCGCTCTGCATGCTACAGGGAATGCCCAGGACACCGCCTGGTCTGCAGGCCTGGACCCCCTGCGTCTCCTGATCAAGCCAGCCAGCCAGCCACACAGCCTCTCAAAAAGGGGAAAGAGCTGGTTGGAGGGAAACCACACATTCAGGAAAATTCTCCCTGGCTCCAAAGGTGGGCCACCTTTTAGCAAAAGGTGTTCTTCATCTTATTTTAGGGCAGCTCGAGGTCCCAAAGTTATTCCTCCCTTCAATGGGAAGGCTTCCGAACTCTGGTCCTGGGCACCCACAGAAAATTCTTGGGGAGACAAAAAGCCCAGCCTCGATCCCCGCCTGTGCTTTAGAAGCTACTTAGGGAAACAGATGTGATTCAAATCTCGGTTGCGAGGATTATTAGTGTGACCTTGACCAAGACACATACTTGTTCTGGACCTTACTTATCGCATCTGTAAGATGGGACCATATCAGTATTACACTGAACCATGTGAAATCGTTAGTAGCTCAATACAATGCCTACCTCTTGGAACCTGGCAGAGAAAGGACCTAAGAAATGTTCACTTTCACCTTTGACCTTCCACCTGCGGACCACACTGTAACCCTCAGCACAGGAAGGTGACGATAACAACCCATGTTTCCTGAGAGAGGTGACCTCAGTGCAATTTGCCTGAGAGAGAAAGTGGTGAGATAACCAAGGTGCGTGTAGGGGACAGAGAGGGGGTGCTGGTCTATGTCTGAGGTTTTATAATTAGAAACTGGGGTTCAGTCTGTTGGTCTGAGTGAGGATCCTTTTTTTCTGTGAAAAGTATACTATTCTCCAATGAAAATCAGATCCGGCACTTGGTACTTCTAGCTTCGCATCGGACTCACCAGCTAGATGTCCCCTCCCTGTAGCAGCCACATCCCCCCTCACAAGCCCACACCCTGCAAACCTTTCAGGACCACACCCTGGCCAGTTTGCACTCAGATTCAAATATCCACGCCCCTTCACAGAGCTCTCAAATCCCAACGGAGCCGGCTGAGGAAGAATACAACCTCTTGCCCCCTAGTCCAGCGTCCCTCCTTCTGTCTATTTGCCAGAAGACCCGTTGAGCCGGAGGTAACCCACTGACCAAAGTTCTCTAAACCAGCCCTGGCATCGCACGGTCCCAGGTCCCTAAAGGAACATCCGTATCTGGCTGTTCAGGGATCCAGCCCATTAGGTCTTAGTTTTTTAAACTTCACTTCCACATCCTGCTCTCAGATGCATCATTTTAAAAAATCTAGTTCCCAACCTGGGGTCCCCAGCTCACAGGCTCTGAGGGGCTCCTCAGCCAGAGGGCTCCCCCATGCCATACTGTGTTAACAGCATCTCCACACCTGGCTTCTGCTGCTCCTGCCCACTCTCCCCCACCTCCCTTGGACCAGGGCATCTATCATCTCACCACCTCCTGGACCACCCAACTACACCTCTCCCCTTTGCTGAGCCTCCAAACCCTGGCATGTGTGTGTGTGTGTGTGTGTGTGTGTGTGTGTGTGCACGCACGCGCATGCACGCATGTGTATGTTCGCATGTGTGTGTGCTGTCTCCCTGCCTAGGGCAGGGATGGGGCTCATAAAAACATCTGAAAAGCACCTCACATGTGCTCTGTCCCGCACACTGTATCCCCCCATTGCCGTATTTTCCCACGGCACACAGACACTGGTACCCGGGATATTTTAGTAGTTATAGTTAAAGCATTGCCCATCCCTCACTAGAACGTCAGTTCCACGAGGGCAGGGACTTTTCTCCGTTTTGTTTGCTGGTGCAACTCTGGCATCTAGCAGGTGGCCTGGCACAAGGTAGATGACACTGGAGAAATAGTTTTGTGACCAAGTAAATTCCTTTTACAGGCCCGTTGTAACTAACTTCTGGGAGTTACTTTTATTTTAAAGGTGAGGAAACTGAGGCTCAGAGAGGTTAGGCGGTTTGCCCAGGGCCCTCAGCTAACGAGTGGCAGAGCTGGAACTTGAACCCAGGCCATCTGCAGGCTCCTCCCATTCCCTTACCCAGCACAGAGCTGCAGGATGCAGACAGCTGGATGCAGACAGCTGACGTGCTGATATCCATCTCTCGTAATCCCAGAAGAGGTGGGTGGGGACTTGTTAGCTCAGGCCCTCCTCATTTGGGGGCAGGACCCAGGACCCCAAGTGCAGCCTTATGCACCTGACCCAAACCTTGTGCACCTCACCCCAGTGGAGGTGGGGTGGGATGGGGGTAGATCTAAGAATCCTGCTTCAGGGATGACCCTGGGAGGCCAGGACCTGGTGGGGCAGGGGAAGGCCTGGAGCTTACCATGGACTCGCTGATGAGGAGCAACAGGAGGGCTTCCTCGATGTTGTCCTTTGGGCAGTAGAGGCTGAAAGACACAAAAGGCGCGTGGCTCCAGCACGGCCCTCACAGTGACGCTGGCCCGTCACCTGCCCGCCTTCTGCCCGGAGTCTGCCCCAGCCCTGTAAGGTGACCCTCTCCTGCATAATTCACAGGCACTGGAGCCACCTGCAGTGCTGGCTCACGCCCCAGAGTTATGGATCTGAAATGCTGGGTGGCGCCAGCCTGGAAATACTGCGAATGCTCCTGGGGAAATGGCCCTTCCAGTGCCTGGCACTGTGTGAGGAGGCTGGGCGAGGAGTCTGCCGGGCGGTCACAGACCCCACCTTCAATTACTGCCACAAACAAGAGAGATGCGATATTAAGTAAGACAACTAGGAAGGCAGGTGCTCCCCCCCCAAAATTTGTGTGGCCTTTGGATGCTCTATAGGAGTCTCCTGCCAACGCCCACTCGAGACCTGCCTTTCCTAGGCTACGTGGCTCCTGCTGACACTGAAGAGCCTGCCTGGCAGTGAGCTGGGTGGTGGCTGAAGTGCATGGGGCAGAGAGAGGGGCGGCCAGCGGGGCCGGAGCCTGGGTGTGAGACCGGCGCGGTCCAGCAGGGGCAGAGCTTACTTGTCTCCTTCGTAGAGGTGAGGCTTGCGCAGGGCTTGCATGATGAAGGAATTCTCCTCTTTATTCATGAACTCAGGCAGAGGCTGGGACAGGGGGCTCCAGTAGCACTCCTCGCTCAGGGAGTGCAGCAGGACCCCCGCCAGGTGCTTGGCCGCCACCTGGCAGAGAGGGCGGGATCAGGCCCAGGCCCAGGTCCAGGTCACTCTCCCCTGATGTGGCCAGAGTGCCCTCCACCCACCTCCCAGCCTTGCCAAGTGCAGCCCCTCCAGGAGGCCCACCATTCCACTCCCAGGAGCCCCTCCGGCACGGCAGGTGGTGAGCCAGCGTCCTTTCTGTGGGCCTTTGATGGCTCCTACTTAATCTTTTTTCCTCTCTCCCTCCTAGACAAGAGGTGCATTTCCCCCTTCTCCTGACCCTGTGGGGCCTAGCACAGCTCTGAGTATCCATAGGCCCTTGCAGACTGGCCTGCCTCTCTCCAGGCCTGCATGATCACCCCATCAGCCTTAGCCCGTCCAGTCAGCCCTCTGTGCCTTACAATAATTTTCAAGCTTTTAAAAGTGTGACCTATAGTAAAAAAAAAAAATACATTTGACATTGCAAAGCCATAGCACAGTCAGCTAGCTCTTTCTACCAAATGCCTTTCTGATACTTGAGCAAAAATTCTACAATGAAAAGCTGCTCTGGCTCTGATATGGGGTGAATGAAAGCCTCAGAAGGCAGGCCTTAATTGGGGCAGCAAAGCAGAGTCAAGGTTATTTACTAAGAGCAAAGATCCCTAAGAATTAGCCCACCACCTTGCTAGGGTATGGTGCCAGCAGGCTTCAACTCTGACCCAAGGCTTGGGGCCATCTGCAGTGTGATGAGAAGGCTGCTTCGGGTGCTTCCTGGCTTCGTGGGAAAGTGCTGTGACCGACTGACAATGTGTGCCATGAGCACGCTGGGAGAGAAGTATGCATGTGACACATTGCCATCCCTGATGCCTGCCAGGACTTCTGCTGTCTCCCACTGAACTTGACCCCCGAGTAAACCAGCTACAGCCAGCACCCAGCACCCAGCACCCAGCCCTGGGGTCCCCTCCATGTTACCACTTTGAAGTTCTGAGTTGCTTTGGTCTCCACAGTCCGTAGGACCTCCCGGAGCTCTCTCATGCCTTTCACGATGTTCCTAGTGGGAAGACAGCACAGCCAGCGTCAGAACCAGCCTAGTTCCCCCAAAGACATCCTCATCAAACCTGCAGACACGAGGAGCCTGCCTGAGTTCTGTCTGAAAACCCTCAATAACTGGAATGGAAGGTCAGAGTTGTAACACTAGCACCCCAGACGGCTAGGACATCACCCATTAAAGAACAGGGGGATCCTTCGCTCCAGATGCCCTGAAACTCAGGCCTGCAGTTTGCCACCAGAAGGGGACCAAGATCAAGTGTTTCAAACAAGATGTTACTTTGTCCCAAAAGCTTTGGGCTGGTGTCAAACTTTCTGACTTGAGTTGGTTTCAAATCCTCTGTCTTTACTCTCCGCATCTGGCCAACACTGGAACCCACCCTCACCTCTCAGTCTCTGCTATAGGGCCCAGATTGGCTTGCATCACCCCAGGCCCACATAACCACCCTGGCCAGCCTCACCCCTTCCAGTCATCCCTCTGTGCCTTGACATAATTTCTAAGCATTTAGAAGTGTGAGCCATAGTAAAAAATACATTTGCCCTAATCGGTTTGGCTCAGTGGATAGAGCGTTGGCCTGCGGACTGAAGGGTCCCAGGTTCGATTCCAGTCAAGGGCATGTACCTTGGTTGCAGGCACATCCCCAGTAGGGGGTGTGCAGGAGGCAGCTGATCGATGTTTCTAACTCTCTGTCCCTCTCCCTTCCTCTCTGTAAAAAAATCAATAAAATATATATTTAAAAAAAATACATTTGACATTGCAACTAGGATATATATACACTTTCCTTACATTCAACTGAAGCAAGTTTCTTGACATCATCTGCCTCTACTACGTGCAATCCACTCTGATATTTCTATTTTATGTCTCCCTTATTCCCCTTTTTAAGTAATGTCGGCTGAGGCCCACTAAATAGATCCTGCAACCCACCAATGGGAGTGGCCTGCAGTTTGAACAACTATTTCCACTGTCCCTCGAAGGGTCTACCCAACATGCAAGAGTCTATCTTGTTGGCCCCAGGTTGGCCCCTTGGTTGGCCCCTCAGTGCTTACAGGTCTTCAGCTGTTGAGTCTGCCCCTTGCCCTCTTGCATCTCATCTCCCACCACTCAAGTCCTTTCTGAATGACCGACCACGGCTCCCTGCATCATGTCTCGGCACCGGCTCCTCACACTGTCTTAAACAGCCTTTCCCGTATTTATCCTTTAAAAACACTTTCCAATATCACTTCCTTCTTGCAGCCTTCCCAGGTCCCTCACCACGCTGTGTCACTCTTGCACCCGTTAATTCCTCTTCTGAAGCAAGCACGACACTTTTGGTCATTTTCTGTTTATGGGCTGACCTCCCGTGCCCTGAGGACTCCTGCCGTGCTCTTGAGGCTCAGCCCCAGCACAGCCCCTGGTGCATAGCATGTGCTCAGCCAACATCTGAGGATGCTCTTCTCATTTATTCTAGGAGTGCCCTGGATCATAGCACATAAGCGAAAGCAGAGGCGGATGGGCCAGAAAACAGAAAAGCAAGATCACAGAGGGTGAAAAAGCGAAAGGAGGCAGCCAGGAAAGTCACGAGTATCTCCTGCAACCTTCATACACGGAACAGATTCCTGGGGGCTTCGGGGCCTGGAGCCATAAAAGGACAGATTTGTAGATCAAGTCCCTGCCTTCTGGTTTCACACAAACAAGTTCCAAACATGCAAACTACCAACATTATAAACACAGACCCTTGTCTGTAAAGCTGAGAATAGAGACTAAGACCTGTGGGATGGAATCAGAGTCACAATGACCTTCCCAGAGCTTCTGAAGAACTGTGAGGGGTAGACAGGACAGGGCACCATAGCGTCCTTAGAAACAGTTCAAGTATGGACGCTACTACTGATGGCCAAGAGGCCCAGGGAGGCAGGCTCACCTCTGTGGGCCGTGCATGGTCTCCTCTATAAAGTCAGCCCTTCAGTTTGGATCAGCATCTCCCAGACTTGTTACCTGTATACTACATTTACAATTTTTGCTACTAGCTGCATACCATCAGAGTTATTATTCATGTAATACTTTTCTTTATATCTTCTTTTTATTTCAGTAGTTATCTTACCTAAATAAAAAATACCCGAAATCAGGATTTGGTGTGCTAGTTATTTTTTTTTGCTAACAGATATTAAATATAGAAGTACCTTTTAAAAGTTGGTGTATCACTTAAAACCACCTTGTGTATTGCTAGAGCTATTCAGCCCATACTTTGAGAAACCACAGTTTAGACCAGCCGTGGGCAAACTACAGCCCGCGGGCCAGATCCGGCCCGTTTGAAATGAATAAAACTAAAAAAAAAAAGACCGTACCCTTTTATGTAATGATGTTTACTTTGAATTTATATTAGTTCACACAAACACTCCATCCATGCTTTTGTTCCGGCCCTCCGGTCCAGTTTAAGAACCCATTGTGGCCCTCGAGTCAAAAAGTTTGCCCACCCCTGGTTTAGACCATAGGTTCTCAAAGTGTGGTCCCTGAACCAGCAGCATCAGCATCCTAGAAACTTTTTAGAAAAACAAATTCTGAGATCCCCCACTCCAGCCCAGCAATTTGGGTTTTATCAGATCTCCAGAGGGTTCCGATAGACACTGAGATTTGAGAACCACTGGTTTAGATGACCCCCCAGTGTCTTCCCATTCTCCTATGCTAAGAAGCCAGATTCCAGAGACACAACCAGATGTGGAGACCCCAGATTTGCAGTCAGATCCTAAATCTTGGGAAGGAAGGCATTGAGTCCTAGTCTCTCCATCTCTGGGAGGAAGATTCCTCATTTGCTGTCAGGAAGATGAACATATGAGAAGCCCCAAGCATACCCAGGCATGTGGTCACTAAATATTAGTTATTTTCCTTTCTCCTTCTAATTTGGGTCCTAAAGACCATATTACTTATAACGTAATTTGCCACATTATTTTGCATGGATGCTCAGGAGCTAATAGTAAGGGGGAGGAAGCAAGTGCCTGAGGAGATCCTCTAGCTTTGTGTCCATCTTACTCACTCCATCAACCCCCCTTCCCCCCGCCGCCCAGGGGACATAAGAACAGGATTCCCTGGTCACACCAGAGACAGGCTGGGAGCCCCCATGAGTTCAATAGGAAGAATTGGCAGATAGCCCTTCGATGCCACTGAGACCACGACCCCCGCGCTGGACAGCAGGCCACCACCAGGAGAGAGGAAACAGACAGACTGCACGAGCTCCCGGAGAGAGGAAATGGCTGGCTGGCAAGTCTGCCGGAGAATTCTGTCCTGGCAGCGGGGCCAAATGGCCATGGGCTGAGGTGGGGCTGGGTCCTGGGACCTGCGGGTGATTTTCCACTCTGTGGGCCACCTGCCAGCCTCCTCCCTGGCAGTCTGGCCCAGGCTGCGACCAGGAGGCCAGAGCCAAGAGGGACTGTGGCCCCTTCTTTCCACTCTAGCGCAAGGACTGTCCTCTCTCCGCCTTTGGCCCCTATATCATCAGCACTGAAGGGTGCTCCCAGGCCCTCGAGGGACACGGGCATCACCTGGGGGCTTGAGAGAAATGCAGGCTCTCAGAGTCCCTGCTTCCTCCAACACACACACAGACAAGGAGTTAGAACTGCATTTTAACAAGATCCTATGTTCAAAAAATTGTGTATTTTTACCATTTCTGAATCGGTAAGGGCTTTTGGTATCAAAATAAATTCCCAGGAATTCTTTAGCTAAGGAATAATCACCCTCAGGCATCTTTTGGGGAAAGCCCAAATTTTATTAAATGCATATAGAGAAAACCCAACACATGGGTTCCAGCGGCCAGGACTGCACAGGGAGAGATTCGGGCTCCTAGCTGGCGCTGACCTGTTGAGGTGCCCCTCAGCTCACCCCTCCAGGAAACGAGAACCCAGAGGGGGTTTGTCCCACCAGCCTGAGCAATCTGCCCCAAAGCCTCAGGCTGCCCGCACCAGGTAGAGCTGGGGCTTTTCCGAGCCTCTCGAGGGGCCAGCTTGAAAGATCTCTTTGTTCCGTCTCTCACGCTGACCTTTCTGAGCAAAGCTGCCACTTTTCACAATATCCAAACAGGGTCTCAAACAAACCCTGGCCCAGGATCAGGCTGCACGTGGAGAAGCCAGGAAGCCACTGATTCCAACTCCAGGAAAGCCCGGCTGGCCAGGAGCAGAAAGCAAGAGGACTTGTGAACGCTGGGAGAGGTCAAGGCAACAGCTCAGGGAGGCCTCCAGTGGGCCGTGCAGGAGGTGGTACACGTCTCGGGTCCCCAGTCAGCAGCAGGCAGCAGTGCGGATTTTTCAAAGTGCTTCATCTCCTTCAGTTTTCGCAGCTTTTTAAAAGGTGGCTGAGGCTTTGTTATCCCAGGACCAGCACGGGGCTTGGCACATGGAAGGCACTCGGGAAGTCAAATGTGGAATAAATAACCCCCATTTCCCAATAGGAACGTGAAAGCCTGGAAGATACCTGCCTTTCCAGGCTATCACTTACCCAAGGGGAGAGGCAGGCTTCCCACGGGCACCATGAGGTTCAGCGTTTACTGCCTTTGAACTAAAAAGACACCTTTTCTTTCCGGCCATTAGAACTCCAGGACTCACAGGACTCAACTAACTAAATCTTTGCCAAGTGCCTGCTGCATCCCAAGTGCCTGGCCATCAGACCTATTCTCAACAGGCACCTAACAGACACCGGTGGGATGAACGTAGAGATGCCTGAGCATCACACTCCGGCCCTGCACGGAAGGAGCTCAGCCTGTTATAAACTAGCCCCTCTTGATGTAGTCAGAGCTTAGCAAACTGTTTTGCATACAGTAGGTGATCCACACACATTTTTTTTGGGGGGGGGGTTAGTTTGATTTGAAACAGAGAATAAAAAAGTGGCTGGAATTTATGGCTGAATGGAACCTATTCAGACACTAGTGCATACGACCCTGGCCAGAAGTCCCATCTCGGGGCTGGCACTACAAACTGTGTATGAGAGGTTTCTGCTCAAAGACTCAGAAGAGCACAGATAGCTGGCAGGTCCCAACAGCA